GGAATCAACTCCCCATCAAAGCTGTTCTCCCATTCATGAATCAACCCTGGAATTCTGTCCTGTATTAATTCATTCTGAGAGGGAAGTGCTATCCCCTTGGGAACTGAAACTTCAGGGAAAACACAGGGAAGGAGCCAAGGAACGCACCACAACTGGGAAAAACAAAACAAAACACCAAAACCCCCCAGAAAACCCCACCCCAAAGCAGACCAAGTGATGCTCAGCCATTCCCCTTCCCCGTTTTCACTCCTGGTGCAATTTGCTGCCCTGAGTTTGCTCTGGATATCCCTGGAAAGCAAGGACAGCAGGGAAGACTGCTGAACTGCCTTTGGCTTCACCTGCACACAGAATCATGGAATATCCTGAGCTGGAAGGGACCCACAGGGATCATCCAGTCCAACCCTCAGCCCTGCACAGACACTCCAACAATCCCACCCTGTCCCTCAGAGCGTTGTCCAAACCCTCCTGCAGCTCTGGCAGCCTTGGGGCTGTGCCCACTGCCCTGGGGAGCCTGGGCAGTGCCCAACCACCCTGTGGGGGAAGAATCTTTCCCTGAGATCCAACCTGACCCTGCCCTGGCACAGCTCCAGCCATTCCCTGGGTCCTGTCCCTGCTCACCCAGAGCAGAGATGGAGCTGCCCCTCGGGAGGAATCTGCAGATCCCCATGAGGTCTGACCTCAGTCTCCTCTTCCCTCCTGCAGGAATATTCCTGAAGGTGACCTGGGATGAGGCTGCAGGTGGCACATCCCCATCACCTGCCTTCAGTCCCCTAAAACTCTCAGTGCCTGTTCAACAGGGACACGTCCCGTGCACTCCATGGACAGGGAGAGGGTTCCTCAAAAGGCAGTTCACAACAACATTTCATTTCCATACTGACACCCCAGGCAGGGTTTCACTTCAAAACCCCACACCTGAAAAGCCTGGGTTTGGTTCACTCTGCATGTCAGTGAACATCTCAAACAGTGTCAGCACCAGCAAATTTGCCTTTGAGATATTTTACTGTCTAATCAGCAAGACCTTTGCTACCGAGATCAGGATGAGATGATACGTAATATACTCCAAATTACACACATCAAAGCTACCTTGGACAGCTGTTTCACACTGCTGACCTGTCCTCTTTCCTCCTCAGCTCCAGCACTTCAACAGGATATTATACATTAAGGAAGATCAAGTGACCTGCACAATAATTATCTTAACTCCACACCTCGGTAGCTGCAGAGCTTTACCCACACCACAAGTGTTTTACACTCACTGGGTGCAGAAGTTGCTGCCAAAAGAAAAACAGCCCAAAAAAGAAAATTTAGAAACTACCACTCCTACTGTTTTCACTCCTTGCAGAAGTTACAGCAACACACAACTTATTAGGGCCAGATTTTCCCAGAGCTTGTTTTTAAGGGCCTAATAATGAACATGAACCACCAAGAGAAAAAGCTGATAAAAAGACTCTGAGCTACTCTAAGGCATTAAAGAAGTATCTCTGTTGAAAATGCCAGACAGGGGAGAGAGAGAGAGAGAAAAATGTGTGGATATATATTTAACCCCATTAAATTACAGCTATCTGGGTGGTGTTTTTTATTTAATTGGAGCTTCAAGGGAAAGCATCTTGTGCCAAATCCCAGCTCTGACCTGCTGTTAATCCTTAACCCCTCCACAGCCCAGATTCCCAAAGGGCTTCCAAAGCTCCACCCAGCACAGCACCTTTTACTGCTCTGATCACCTGTAAGTTTGGAGAACTTAAAAACCCTCCAACTCAAAATGGGTGTTTTTTTCTTCTCCAGGTACAACAAAATTACCCCAGAGATCACCCAGAGTGGTTCATCTCCTCCAGGGTAGCAACTCTCACCCACCTACTCTTAAATTTTTGGTGTGAATTTGCTGCTTGTGGTCACAAAATCCTTATGTCACAAGATACTAATGAAAACAATTCCAGTTGTGTTCTATAGAATCCTGGAAATCTCCCTAGATCTGAACAGAAAGATTTCCTGCAGCGAATGGCAGAAGTTCACTTGTTATTTACTATAGAAAAGTAAGACAGCCTTGATGTCCAGAGAGAGCCCAGGAAGGGCTCAGGTTGCTGCAAGTATATCATTTTTGCAAATTTATAGCTTTAAATCAATAGGAAACACATGAAAAATTCAAGTGTGAACAGAAATCAATGGACACATAAACACATGGTTGCCTCCCAGAGAATTTCTTCTTCAAATCCACAGCAAGGAATCCTGTGGAGCCAGGCTGGGAGAGCTGGGGGGGTTTCCCTGGAGAAGAGAAGGCTCCAGGGAGAGCTGAGAGCCCCTTGCAGGGCCTGAAGGGGCTCCAGGAGAGCTGGAGAGGGACTGGGGACAAGGGATGGAGGGACAGGACAAGGGAGAATGGCTTCCCAGTGCCAGAGGGCAGGGTTAGATGGGATACTGGGAAGGAATTCCTGGCTGGGAGGGTGGGGAGGCCCTGGCCCAGGTTGGGCAGAGAAGCTGTGGCTGCCCCTGGATCCCTGGAAGTGTCCAAGGCCAGGCTGGATCCAGCTGGGCTAGTGGAAGGTGTCCCTGCCCATGGCAGGGAGTGGAACTGGATGGCCTTTAAGGTCCCTCCCAACCCAAACCATTCCCTGATTCCGTGAACAAGCTGCACAAAGTTACAGCAACCTACAAAATAAGGGGAAAGATTTCCCTTCATCTTCCCTGGGAGAACCTCCAGCACACCCTCAGTTCCTGATCTCATCAGCCCTGATGGTCAAATCTTACCAAGGGTCACTCCTCCAGGAGCCCAGGTACACAATCCATAGGGAGAGCCACCATCCCACCTGCCTTGAGAGGCTGGAAAACCAGTGGGATTTAGAGGGTGGGAACATGGCACAGGATGTCCCATCTCATCCACAGCCTCATCCACACACATCTTGCTTTGAAAAACAAGCAGAGCTCAGGCCCAGAAGCTGCTCTGATGCCTCCACCAGCTTTGATCTGATAACACCATTTTCACATCGGGATTTTTTTTTTTTGTCCTTTAATTCCACGTGACGAATTCCCTTCAGCGCTGAATAGGGAAATTAAGATCACATTTAAAGCCCATCACTTTTAACACACACAATATCCTTTTTCATCAGCCTCAGTGAAGACGATTTAGGCATATTTATAGTAACATTAACCACATTTCTTCTGTAGGGCAGTATTATTCTCAGAATAGACAACTGAATCCCAGTTGCCATGCAAAAGTGCCATGAAAATATGCTTCCAAACCTCCAAATTCCTATTTAAATTGCACCATCATCAGGACAGCTTTAAAACATATAAATCATTTGTCCTAATTGCACAGATAGGGAAAGTAAGGGGATTAGATGATGAACTGTGCTTCTGTTTGACTCCTGAAGTCTGTGGCCATTTATTCCCAAGGGAACATAAAGTTACAGGCTACAAAGTCACTTCAGCTTTTCCATCTGGATCACACATTCCTGTTTCCACCAGGAATCCACATCCTTCATATTCAAACACCAAACCTGCATGGAAACTGTTACTGTGCCATTCCCATGTGGGAATTCTGCTGGTGCTGACAACGTTTTCCTGCTGTCCCAGAAATCCTCCACGGCTCAGGTACCAAGGAAAGCTGGAAATGAGCCAGGAATCGCTATTTTAACACGTTTTAACTGAGTATTTTTTTGGGTTCACCACATAAATCCAGATAAAACAAGCTAATAAATTACCAGTGACATCCACCAGGAAACAAAAAATCCCAGCAGTGTGAGAATGGATGTTTCAGAGGGAACGTGCAGAGGCGGGAAGGCGAGTTCTGGGGTTGACTTTGAGCCACAGCAACACCTCCTCAAAATGATTCACCCTCCCAAAGTTGAACCAGGGCATATTTAAATCCCCATGTCCAGTCCCCAAAATGAAAACCAGGGACTTTAAACCTGTGCACGTGGGAGAAAGACACAGAGTGCCCCAAATTTCCAGAGCTGCTGGTCCGTGTTCCAACGGAATAAATCAATCCCTGAAACTAAAAAGCACCAACACGCTGTCAAAGCAAACAGGCAGCAACTATAAATAAATGCAGATGGAAAGGCAAGAGTGAATCTTGCACAACAATAAATGGCAAGTTTTTCAGCAAAAAAATAAAAACTGACCCCACAATTCCGCCTGTTCCCGAGCTCCACTGGGAAAAAATGAGGATTACAGAGCCACCAGTGACCTCAAAACGCAGTATTTTCCACTATATTGCTAAGAATTCAATACTTTGCTTCCAGCAAACCAGCAACTTCGATGTCTGCTCACAGTTTGGATGGAGTAGGATACTTTTTTTTGGCAGCACAGAAGTCCTTGATGGGAAATAACTCCGGAATTTTCCCTGATTTTTTTTTCCTGTAGCGCTGCCCTGCCCAGTCAGCACTTCAGTCCCACACCACTCTGCCTCCTTGCAAAGGCTGGAAATCTTCTTGGCATCGTTTTTGCTGATTCCACACAAGATCAAAAGTGTGTCACACTGGAGATCCAAGCTCTGAAATCCCTATAAAATTCCCAGGACACTCCACTCTGCGTTAATGGGGATCGGCCACGGAAATGAATCCTTAACCAGGCAGGTGCACAGGAAACGTGCTGCAAAAAAACCCTTCACAAAACCGCCTTGGAAAGTTTATTTTGGAGGAACTCAGACGTGTTGTGGAGCGTAACAAGCCATGAAATCCACCCACTGTGCCCAGGGTGAACCTGGATCGTGGGTTTTCCCGGGATAAGGCAATTTCCATGAAAAATATCTGGCAGCAACACGTGGAGCACCACACAAAACTGTGGAAGGAAGGGGATAACGACACAAGCACAAAGCAAATGGGGGAAAACACACAACTAATCCACTGGAGGAGTCACTTTATTCCATAGGAATGACTGGAAAACCAGCAGGGATGGAACTGCCACAGCTTTAATCACAGAGCAACTGAAGCCACAGTTGTTCTTCCCCTTCACAAGGGAATAATATTAAACCCAACCTCAATTTTCTGAATGGAAGACGCAGTTCTCACCTTCTGCATCTGAAGTTTATAAAAAGGGAGCTGACAAAAAATGCTAATTCATGTGTGCCAAGCTTCTTATCCTTCGAGGAGACGAGCACCACCTTGGAGACGGATATTAAATTTTCATGCAACACAAACACTGACTAATAAAGAAAGTCTTCCAGAGGGTGTTTTCCTAACGCAGCTTTCCTCAGTTTGGTTTCCTTTCAGCCTGAAGAATAAAACAAGGGCTCTGAAAAAAAATCAGGGAGTAGAGGAGGGGAAGACGAATAATGGAAAATCTGGGATTTTTCACAGCTGTATTTGCACGTCCTACATGAGTTTCTGTGCAAAGATGAGCGGCACTGGCTCATGGGAAAGGATATTATGGATAATTTCCAGCCCAAAGAGGATGTGTAACACTCTGTACCTACAAGAAGCAACAACCCCTATTTAAATTTCGTTACATGCACCGAGCGCAGCCCAGGTCGTTGTGTACAGCAAGGCTGGGACAGAGGGGCTGGAGAGCAGCCAGGCAGGGAGGGAGCTGGGAGTGGGGATGGACAGGAAGCTGAACAGGAGCCAGAGTGTGCCCAGGTGGCCAAGAGGGCCAATGGATCCTGGCCTGGAGCAGGAACAGTGTGGCCAACAGGTCCAAGGAAGTGATTCTTCCCCTGGACTCAGCACTGGTGAGGCCACCCCTGGAGTGCTGTGTCCAGTTCTGGGCCCTCAGCTCAGGAAGGACATTGAGGTCCTGGAGCAGGTCCAGAGGAGAGCAACGAGGCTGGGGAAGGGACTCGAGTGCAAGTCCTATGAGGAGAGGCTGAGGGAGCTGGGGCTGTTCAGCCTGGAGAAGAGGAGGCTCAGGGGAGACCTCCTCACTCTCTCCAACTCCCTGACAGGAGGGGGGAGCCAGGGGGGGGTTGGTCTCTTTTCCCAGGCAACTCTCAGCAAGACAAGAGGGCTCAGGGTCTTCAGCTGTGCCAGGGGAGGTTTACATTGGATATTAGGAAGAATTTCTTTCCAGAGAAGGTGCTCAGCCATTGGAATGGGCTGCCCAGGGAAGTGGTGGATTCTCCATCCCTGGAGGTGTTTAAGGACAGACTGGATGTGGCATCAGTGCCATGGGCTGGGAACCACGGCGGGGTTGGATCAAGGGTTGGACTTGATGATCTCGGAGGTCCCTTCCAACCCAGCTGATTCTATGATTCTATGATTTACTCCTGCAGGCATGGCAGGGAAAAAAAGGGATTTGACACGTTGGAAAACCCTTGGTTGGAATGCCCAGACCACCTCTGTCCCCAAAACCAGCTTAATGCCACTTCTGCTTTTTCAGAGAACTGCAAATTCTGAGTCCAGTGATGCTGCAGGAAACTCAAATACCAAATGAAGCCACTCCAGGACCAGGAATGTTTTCCAGATCCTGGGGTGTCCAGAAGTACTTCACAGATCAGATTTGGAGATCAGCTGCCTTTCTTTATCGCTCAGCTCATCAGGAAAACATTGGAATTGTTATTTCTTCCGTGAGATGCACTGAGGTGATTTTCAGCCCAAAACACTGAGTCCATTTCCTTTAAATTATCTTCCAACTCCCCCCACTATTCGGAGGTGCCAAATTCTGAAGTCCCAAATTAATCAGATTGCCACAGGGAGCCTGTTCTGTGAGCAATTAAGGGCTCTTCCCAACCCTGATGGTGCCACAATCACGACAGAGCCCTTCCATTCTCAGAATCCCAAGGATTTCAAGTCCCACAAGCCCAAACCGTGCCTGGAATCCTTCTGCAAGCAGCACATCCCCCAAAAACCCCGGCAGCGAACCTGCCCCTCCACCAAATAAATATTCATTTTAAGCCACGGGGAGGGAAGGGCATTAGTGACAGTCTCAAGTGGATCTGAGGGAACTCCAGGAGGGATCAGCCCCAAACAAAGCCCGGGAACAAAAGCAGGAAGCACAAAGCAAACATCGTTATTGCTCCGGCGTTTTCGGGCGCCTCGACGAGTATTTCATTCAAAGCCCTGCACAAAAGCAAATTATCAGCTCTGTTCTCTGCCGTAAAATTGATTATCACATTTTCCAGCCCCGCTTCCAAGCGGCTGCAGCGGTTCCAGGGGCAGATGCGAGCACGTGGCCGTGCAAGAACAAAGTACTGGCATAAAACCCGCTGTGCTCCTTCCCAGGGTGAATTCCAGCCTGGAGCGGCTCCCTGCTTCCCTCAAAACCACTTCACCTACACAATCACATCACTCTCAACCTCATCTCCTGCCTTTTTTTGCTCTATCTTCTCCCTGGGCTTTAGAAGATGTGATTTCAGAGCTGCTACTCGCTGAGAATATCTTGAGTGCAGGGGGAAAAAAAAAAAGCCAAGCTCTCCCAGATCAAGGAGCTAATTCCAAGTGCTGTACTTGGAACTTCGAATTGGAAAAAAAAACAACTTCTTCAAGGGAACTGTTTAAGAAAAGAGCACCCAAGGGTATCCTGAATTAATGCAATGAGACAACAGCCTGGTCAGCAGCAGCATTATCTCAATATATTGAGGATTTTCAGCATGGATTTCACAGACAGGAAGCTCAGGCTTTGCAATTTGATTGCTCACAAAAGCTGCAGAGGAAGAAGCCAGGCAAAGTCAAATCCATCCCATGCATTCCCAATATTATTTAGCTTTATCAGGACGTGATAAAAGCACTGCTGGTCCTATTATTTTGGCTGGTTTTAATTAAAAAAAATCGAGTCTTTTCTGTGAAAACAGTGCTGACCCCAGGGGTTTGTTGGTGTTTCAACAGAGGCTGTTCATGTTAAATGTCAATTGATGAAGATGGTAACGAACACCTGGTTGGACATGGGATTATTTTAGTAGTTTCCCAGAGAAACTGTGGCTGCCCCATCCCTGGAAATGTCCAAGGCCAGGTTGGAGAGGTCTTGGAGCAACCTGGGCTAGTGGAAGATGTCCCTGCCCAGGGCAGGAGGTGGAACCAGGTGATCTTTAACGTCCCTTCCAATCCAAACCAGTTCATGATTCTATGATTATTTTGGACCTATAATGAAAGCAGCAACTGGGAAATAATGGGAAGATGTAGAGCAGTGTCAGACAACTGCCAAGGAAGGTTATTCCCTGAGAAGTATCCCCTGATATCCAGATATTTAACCAGACTTAGAGAAGCGAGGCAGGAACGTCGACGCTGCGGATCAGGAGGTGTTTGTACATCCCTGGAATTGGCAGAGGAATGTTATCCTCTACCTGCTCCATTCCAGGAGGTCCCAACACTCAGCATGAAGACAGGAGCAGGACAGGGCTTATTCCTGATCAATAATTCCAACAACTCAAGTTCCAGCAGGGAACGTGTGAAGCAGAGGCAACAGGGAGGATCCAGCGGGAGCTGCTTTGTCTCACTGCTCTGGCTTTTCCACTGCTGAATCCTTGGATAAAGCAGACTGAAAATAAGCAGGGAGCTTATTGCAAACATTAACAAAACCTCCCCAACTCAAATATTTATGTTGGTCCTTCTGTGCGAGGCAGAAAAGTGCAAAACATCTCAGATATTTCCAAAACATGGAATTATTTCGCAGGTGAATTTCTGTTCTTGAAGCAGCCCTTGTAAAATATCAGACTGGCCAATAAAGCCAGCAAAAGGAACGATAAACCAGTGAGAATTCAGATTAAATATTAGCCATGGGCTTCTCTCACAAGGAACAGACCATTTAAATAAATTCATGGAATAGTTTCTGTTGGAAGGGGCCTTTAATATCACCCAGTTCATACCCCCTGCCATGGGCAGGGACACCTTCCACTATCCCAGATTGCTCCAAGTCCCAAAATTTATAATATTTATATATTATTAACATGTATGGATAGACAAAAACATATACAATGAATACATAAAGATATCCACATCCACCTCCTAGCAAAATTATAAACCCACAGTTGGAAATAATGACTCCAGGAACTAAATAAAAGCACAGAAATGCTCTTTTTTTTTTCCCCCAGTGTATTCATTAAAATTGATTATGTTTAAGTATTTCCTACTTGAATAGCTTATTCTCTTATTACCAGGGCACAATGTTTGAGTGAGCCCTTCCAGCAGCAGCATGGAAGAGAAAATCATTTTAAAGCACAATAATACCCTAATGAAAAGGGAGCAACAGAACGGGGATCAGGCACAAATGCTGCCCCCAAATCTAATTTGAGCACTTTAAACTGATTTGATTCAAATCTCCAGCATCCTTGGATCTCCAGAGCAGTTCCCTGACTTTTCCCAAAGCTTTGAACTGCCTCAGGTGGCTTTTTAAAGACAATGGGTCTGGATAATAAGCTTTGGACCAAAAGCTGCCATTTATTTAACAATGGGAACTGTGATAGTTCTTTCCCAGCTTGCCACTCTCTCAGGTGGCGATTTACCCAAATCTAGAGATAAAATTCCTCTTCCCCCTAATATTCCTTGGCCAAGGACACACCAACTCCTTCATAATGTTCAATGAGCAACACATAACTGCTCCCATTAAATTAATAAAAAGGGAGTTAAAGGATACACAGTAATCTTTTTTTGCTTTCTCTGTCAGGCCGGTTGGTTAAGCCCTGCTTTAGTATTTCCCATCTCCCACCTCCAGAAAAGTAAAGTATCACCATGAAAGGAGAACCAAGTGCCTCGACACGCAAAATCCAGACTCCTGGAATCATGTGCCATTATTCATTATTCAGCCAAAATAATATTTTCAGCTACAGTCAAACATCAAACTGCCCATCCCGGAGCCTCCAGGCACAATCCACAGTGACTGTTCCAGGAATCAATCGTTATCCTGAATTCCTTAATCCAATCCTTTACAATCTCGGGACAATAAATCCGTGTGAACCAGAGGTCGTTTCTCACCCTGTGCTTTACCTCCCTTGGCAGATGAGGAGCAGCTGAGGGAGCTGGGGGGGCTCAGCCTGGAGAAAAGGAGGCTCAGGGGGGACCTTCTGGCTCTGCAACTCCCTGACAGGAGGGGGGAGCGTCAGGCTCTGCTCCCAGGGAACAAGAGACAGGAGGAGAGGGAACAGCTTCCAGCTGTGCCAGGGGAGGTTTAGGTTGGACAACAGGGAAAATTCCTTCATGGAAAGGGCTGTCCAGCCCTGGCACAGCTGCCCAGGGCAGTGCTGGAGTCCCCATCCCTGAAGGGATTTAAAATCCCTGTGGATGTGGCACTTGGGGACAGGGGTTAATGCTGGAGAATGGTTGGACTGGATGACCTTAGAGCATTCCCAACCTTAATTCCATGTGTTAATCAGGCAGCAGGCTGACAGGACTCAGTTTAGGCAGGACTAGAGGCTGTCACTGAGCTGCACACAGAGCCTGGAGGAGCCTGTTCCCCGAGCCTGAGGCACCTCTGTGATTGCACACCCAGCGCTGCCAATTTAACCCCGGAGTCTGGAGCTCCCACCGCTCCAAACCTTATCCCAGGATGCTGCTGCAGCTCTGGGAGTGGGGGATCTCTCATCCCTGCCAGCAGCAGCTCCTCTCCTGCCCAGATCACACAGCCCAGCCCAGGAGGTTTGCACAGAAATAGAAAACACCAGCGCATCAGGCACGGCCCCTGTTTTCTACTTCAGCTTCTGTTACCACCGAGATCTTTATCTGTGAACAGCTCCACCGCTGGTTCCACACCTCAAAAACACTGAAGGTCACCTGAAGTCCTTCCCAAATCAACCTTCTCCACCCCCAAGAGCACCACTGATGGCTGGTGTGTTATTTATACATCCGACCGCAGGCTAAATAAACAGATTTCCCAAGGAAAAAGGGAATTGGAATATCGTCAGACTGCAACTCGTTGCTCCAACATTCATCCCTCCCTCGCTGCCAACCCGGAAGATGGGAGGGATTAACAGGTTAATGAGGCACAAGTCGTGTCTTTACAGCCCCAGCGTTCCATGTAAATAAAAGCAGTGGAGGCCATAAATACAGTTATCACACACATCGAGATAAGACGGGGTGATTATCGTGCCAAATTTAATTACGTCTCTCAGCCAACCAGACAAGCACGTGGAATATACCACCACACTTAAGGAAATCATTTTCACCTGCCCCTTTCCACTTGCCAGCTGCACCTCCAGCATCTCGTGACACGTCAAGTCCTTTAAAGCCAAGCCCTTGACAGCCGTAAACCAAAAAAAAAAAATTTAAAAAAATAAAAAAATAACCTCCTGCAGGGGCGTTTCTGACAGGAGACGGAGCAAACCCGAGGCATGTGGAAGGTGGCACGTGACTGCAAAGCTCTAAACGCTGCTAAAAGCACTCGCTTGCACTTCTTGGGGCTCAAAGTTTAAAAACATTACCGGGAACTTCAACTCCTTCATGAAGAAATAAACGGCCAAACAAACCACCTCGAGGGAAAAAGGTTCATCGTATTTTTTAAACATTCGTTCAGGTAAACTTTTAGGCTGGAATCGTACGTGAGAAAGAAATAAGAAGCTTTTTATAAAAACGGGCAAGAGGATAAAAAAATCGAGGTTGTATTAGCAGTGGATACGTAGCAATTCTTTTTTTATGAGGCATCATTCAGCAAAGGAGCCTCTCTCTGCTTTTACTTAAATCCAGTCCCCCTTAAATGACCAACATCCTAAAGCTCTCCAGGAAAGTAACAGGTAAGTGGCTATTTCATAAAACTCAACTAGAGGGAAATTCTTCTCATGAGAGTGGCAAAAAGACCTTAAAAAGGCAGCTTTGGACTTGCCTGGCCTGGAATCGTTTTTATAAAAACACCTTTTAAATTGGCTGCGTCACACGCCCATCTACAGACTGTCAAAAAACCCAAACAAATAATAAAAGTCTTTTTTCCTCCGTGAGTTCAGCTCACACAGACAGCTCCCCTTCTCCCAAATCCACGGGGAGCATCATCCAAGGGTGCTTTGTACTCTCAGCAGCTCCCTGAGAAGGCAATCGCTGCCCAGGATAATCATCCTTTCCTCAATTCCTTCTTTTCCAGGAATCAGCCATGCCCAGGGAATTCACACACACACACAGTGCCTCTGTCACTGCCACAGCTGATGGATCCAAGGCAGGTAACCATCTTACACAAACCCTGCCCACAACACACAATCCAGGCTGCATTCCCAGCCCATTCCCGGGAAGATTTCCATTTTCTCACCCTATGGGATAGACTTCGGACACACAACCCCACTGAGTGCCCCAACACCACCAGAACTGGCCCTGGCACTGCAGCAATGAACTTTCCAGCATCAGACAGCCCAAAAATCACCCCTGTGCTGGGCAGGCATCCCTCATTCCCACGGGCACATGGCCTGGACCAGTGTGGAACCCAGTGGGTTTCCATCCTGCTTCCCAAAACCCTCCTTTAGCCTTTTTCCTCCAAACAAAATGCCCCTGCAGTGGTAGAACCCTCCCACCACCCTCTGTCCCACTCCACCCCTTGCCCAGCCTTGTCCCCCCACAAACCCAGGAGCTTCCTTCCACCAGGCTGTCCCTCCCCAGGAGCCAGCAGCATTCCTGCTCCAAAAGCCGAGCCTCCCAAACTCCAGATACTCCCTTTAGGATGCTGCTTCTCCCCCCTGCACCTCACCTTTAAGCAGCACCTGCTTATCTGCCAAGAGGAGCTTCTTTAACCCCCCAAACCCTCCTGTTGGCCCCACCCAGCCCTAATAGTGGCTCACAGCCCTTCCCCTCCAAACCTGAACCACATTAATCTCCACATTGGTCCTTCTCCTGTGTCTGCCCCAGCCCAGGAACTGGCCCCACATCCACACTGTCCTCCAGCCACAGCATTGGCTCCTCACTGTTCCCACCTCCATCCACGTCCATGCAACCACCCACCATCCTTAGCCTTCCACTCAAACAGCCCCCAAACCTCCCCCTGCTGCCCCAAAATGTCCCCCTGCCCACTACCCCCCATTCTCCCTTTCTCTCCGGACCTATAACAACTTAAACCCGACATTTTCCAGGCTCAGCAATCCCTCACACCCAGACCCCACTGACCCTGTTGTTACACAGCTTCTGAGAGTCACAACTGACCCTCAGTGACCCCCCATCACCAACACCCAAAACTGGGTCCCCTCAGAGCTGCGTCTGTGGTACAAACACCCCGTACCCACCAACGGGGACACGCAACACCCACATCCCATCGCTCCCAGACCTCCCCCAGACAGCCCCAACCACCCTGGGGACCCCCAGACCTGACCTTCCACCCTGTCACCCATCACACCCATGCTCTTGTCACCCTGTGTCCCCTCACAGCCACATCCCCCAGACCCCCCTCCCTGCGCCCAAATCCCTGCTGTGCCCCTGCTTGGCTCCTGCCCAGCCCTTTGCACCCACATCCCCCTGGATCAGCCCCTCACACTCACCCCTGCGCTGCCCTCGGGCTCAACCAAGGTCACCCCAGTGCCTGCTGTCCCCTCAACACGCTCCTACCCTGCCCCAGCACCTGCACCTTTATTGTCACCTGGGTCTGTCCTTTGCCCTCCTTGTCACTTGGATCTGCCCCTTGTCCTCATTGTCACCTGGATCTGCTCCTTGCCCTCGTTGTCACCTGGATCTGCTCCTTGCCCTCGTTGTCACCTGGATCTGCCCCTTGTCCTCACTGTCATCTGGATCTGCTCCTCACTTTTATTGACACCTCCGTCTGCCCCTCACCTGTCTGCCCCTCACCTTCATCGTCACCTGGACCTGCCCCTCATCCTTATTGTCACCTGGTCCTGCCCCTAGCCCTTATTGTCACCTGGACCTGCCCCTCGCCCTTATTGTCACCTAGATCTGCCCCTCACCTTTATTGTTACCTGGTCCTGCCCCTCACCCTTATTGTCACCTATTCCTGCCCCTCACACCCACAACCCTGCTGCCCTCACACTCACCCCTGGACCTCGTGTCGCCTCCCCCCCTTTAGAGTCCCCAAACCCACTTCTCCCACCTATTTCCCCCAAGTGCCCCCCCAAGCAGCCTGCCCTGGTGCCATGAGGCTGCTGCTGTCCCCTTGATTGCCCCCTGCCCTGTCCCTCACCCTCAGCCCCGGTGTGGCTCCCGCACGCTCCCCTCCATACCCCAAACCAGCCCCTCACCCCCGTACCCTAACCCAGCCCCTCAGCCCCTAACCCAAACCAATCCTTTAGCCCTGTACCCTCAACCAGCCCCTCACTCTGGTACCCCAAAACAGGCCCTCACCCCAAGTCAGCTCCTCACCCTGATACCCCGAACCAACCACCCCCATGTTCCAAACCAACTCTTCATCCCCATACCCCAAACCAGCCCTTACCCCTGTACCCTTAACCAGCTCTCCTGTACACCAAACCAAACCCTCACACCAAACCAGGCCTTCACCCCTGTACCCCAAACCAACCCCATACCCCAAACCGACCGCGACCCCAAACCAATCCCTTACCCCCGGACCCCAAACCAGCCCCATACCCTAAACCAGTCCTGACCATAAACCAGTTCCAACCCCAGACCAACCCCATATCCCAAGCCAACCCTGTACCCCAAACCAGCCCCGATCCTGAAGCAATCCATCACCCCTGTACCCCAAACCAACCTCGACCTTAAACCAAGCCCTGCACCCCAAACCAACCCCGACCCCAAACCAACTCCAGCACCCCAAACCAACCCCTATACTCCAGTCCAACCCTGCACCCCAAACC